AGCTAACTGGCCTATAGTTACCTGCTTTTTGTCTACTTCCTTTTTTAAACAGTGGCGTCACATTGGCTGTTTTCCAATCTGTGGGAACCACCCCAGAGTCCAGTGAATTTTGGTAAATAATTACTAGTGCATTTGCTATTTCCCCCATCACCTCTTTTAGTACCCTGGGATGCATTTCATCAGGGCAGGAGACTTGTCTACCTTTAGCCCCATTAGCTTGCCCAGCCCTGCCTCCTTAGTGATAATGATAGTTTCTAGGTCCTCACCTGCTATAACCTTCTTGCCATTAGTTTTCGGCATGTTATTTGTGTCTTCCACTGTGAAGACCGACACGAAATAACTGTTTAATGTCTCGGCAATTTCCTCATTCCTGGTTATTAAATTGGCCTTCTCATCCTCTAAAGGACCAATATTTACCTTCGCCACTCTTTTACGATTTACATATTTATAGGAACTTTTGCTGCCTGTTTTTATATTCTGAGCTAGTTTACTGTCATAATCTATCTTACTTTTCTTTATAACTTTTTTTGTGGTTTTCTGTTGGCCTTTAAAGATTTCCCAGTCTACTAGTTTCCCACTACTCTTTGCATTTTTGTATGTGTTTTTTTCAATCTGATACTTTCCTTTATTTCCTTAGACACCCATGGCTGGCTCTCTTTTCCTACAGTTCTTCCTTATCACTGGAATATACTTCTGCTGAGCACTGTGGAAAATCGTTTTGAAAGTCCTCCACTGTTCCTCAATTGATCCACCATAAAGTTTTTGCTCCCATTCTACCTTAGCTAACTCCTCCCTCATTCCTTCATAGTCTCCTTTGTTTAAGCACAGGACATAGGTACTGGACTTAACCTTCTCACGCTCCATCTGTATTTTAAATTCGACCATACTGTGATCGCTCCTTCCAAGAGGATCTCTAACTGTGAGATCATTAATTATTCCTGCCTCATTCCACAGGACTAGATCTAGGATATCTTCGTTCCTCACAGGTTCCATTACATGTTGTTCAAGGAAATTATCACGGATGCATTCTATGAATCCCTTCTCAAGGCTGCCATGACCAACCTGGTTTGACCAATCGATATGTAGATTAAAATCCCCCATGATAATTGCTGTACCATTTTTACATGCATTAGCTATTTCTATGTTTATTGCCCGCCCCACCACAATGTCATTATTTGGTGGCCTATAGACCACACCTATCAGTGACTTCTTCTCGCTGCTATTCCTAATTTCCACTCATATAGTTGGATATTCAGAAGGCTTTTGATAAGATCCCACACATGAGGTTGGTAAGCAAGATTAAAACACATGGCACAGGAGGTAATGTACTGGCATGGATTCTTTTGGCTAACAGGCAGTAAAGACTGAGAAGGAATAAATTCTCACATTAGCAGGCTGTGACTAATGGGGCAAGGATTGATACTTGGACCTCTATCGTCACAATGTTAATCAATGATTTTCAGGTGGAGATGAAATTTGCAGATGATACAAATCTATATAGGAATGTGTGTTGTGAAGAAGACATAATATATTTTCAGGAGGATTTGGACATGTTTAATGATTGGGCAAGAACATGCCGATGAAGCATAATATGGAAGATTCTGAGATTATCTACTACGGTGGGAAGAACAGTAGAATACTTCTCAAATGGCGAGAGTTTTGGAAATGCAGACATGCAAAGGTACTAGGGTGTTCATGTCAACGAGTCAAAGAGGGATAACATACATGTGTAGCAAGTTATGAAGAAAGTGAGTAGAATGTAAGTCTTTATTGCAAGAGGATTTGAGTACAGGAGTAGTGAAGTCTTGTATCAGTTGTACTGGAGCTTGATTAGACCACGTCTGGTGTACTGAGCGCAGTTTTAGTCTCCTTCTCTCAGGAAAGATATTATTGCCATTGAAGGAGTATCCCAACAGTTGGCCGGAGTTGTTCCTGGCTTGGTGGGACTGTCCAAGGGAGAGAGATTGGGAAAATTAGTCCGTGTTCTCCAGAGCCATGATCTCCTCCATGTAGATCATGATCGATTGCACAGTCTCAGAGCTGATCTCACTACCTGCCCTCATTCCCTCACTGAGTGTCACTGACAATTGATCTCATCATGCATATGTCAATCATCATACTGCTGTGTGACTTAAGCTTCCAGAAGCTGTGCAGCTAAAGTGTTTGCTATTAATAGGCTTTGCTGGCTTGTGGCATTGATTTAGATTTAGATTTTATTGTCATGTGTACTCAAGTACGGGGTACAAGAGTACAGTGAAAAGTGTACAATGGTGCAACACACGATGCCATCTTAGGTACAGAATACCTAGGTACAAAATCTTAGTTACAGAAGTAGAAAAATAAAGAAACATGTTCGAAAATTTAGCACTACAGTCTTCTAAGCATAAAGGTGGAAAAATAAAGAAATAAAATTAAAAGGTCTATTGTGTTTCGGTTAAGTCCAGATGGATATCATTGCAGGATATAGTCAGTTTTGTGGTGACAATGCAAACAAATTAATTAGAAATATATTAGGAACTGAGGTGTGAAGCCAATATATTGCAGTACTAGAAGCATAGCCCATCAACCCATCATGTCCATTCAGACTGTATGTAAGAGCAGCTCAACAAGTTCCGCTCCTCTGCCTGTTCTCTGTTGACCTGCAGCTTTTTTTCTTAATCTGCTTATCCAATAGGTCCTTGCAGGATGAAGAAAAATGACAGGGAACACTGCTGGGTTCCACGTCCAGTATCCTAGCAACTCAAATTGCCATGGGGTCATGGTAACAAATCATGACCTCCTGTGCCTTTTTTAAATTCACTCATAGGACATGGGCGTCAATGGTCAGGCCAGTGTTTATTACTCTTAAGAAAGTGGTGGTGAGCTGCCTTCTTGAACTGCTGCAAACTATATGCTGTAGATAGACCCATAATGTCCTTAGGGTGGAGGTTCTAGGATTCTGACTGAGCGATAATGAAGGAAATAGATATATTTCCAAGTCAGGATGGTGAGTGGCTTGGACGGGAACTTGAAGGTGGTGGTGTTCCCATGTATCTGCTGCCCTTGTCCTCCTAGATGGAAGTGGTTGTAGTTCTGGAAGGTGCTATCTGAGAATCTTTGGTGAGTTTCTGCAGTGCATCATGGAGATAGTACACACTGCTGCTACTGAGCGCCGATGGTTAAGGGAGTGGATGTTTGTGGATGTGGTGCCAATCAAGTGGTCTGCTTTGTCCTGAATGGTGTCAAGTTTCTTGAGTGTTGTTGGAATTGCACCTATCCAAGCAAGTGGGTACTATTCCATCACACTCCTAAGTTGTGCCTTGTAGATGGTGGACAAGCTTTGGACAGTCAAGAGATGAGTCATTTGCTGCAGTATTCCTAGCCTCTGACCTGCTTTTGTAGCCACTGTACTTATGTGGCAAGTCCAGTTCAGTTTCTGGGCAATGCAAACCCCAGGATGTTGATAGTGGGGATTCAGTGATTGTAACACCATTGAATGTCAAGGGGCATAGGTTAGATTCTCTCTTTCTGGAGATGGTTATTGCCTGACAATTGTTTGTATTGCCTCCACACTTATAGGCAGCCAGAGTCATTCCCAGGGTTCCAGAGGCACAGATCCAGTGGCCTACCTGCAGCATGACCAATGGCAGAGTGACTTTAGCGTAGGCACTAGGTAATGATGCACATTTAACAAGCTGGAGCAAGCACGATGCGCCAAATGGCCTCCTTCCACATTGGAACACTTCTGTGAATCTGTGACATCACTAACTACTAGTTGAAGTAATAATGGAGAAACAAACAAATGAGAAAGTACAGCAGAGGAACAGCCCTTGAGCCCTCCAAGTCTGTGCCAACCATCATGCCCTAATTAATTTAAAAACAAACCTGCCATTATTTGAACCGTATCCCTCTATTCCCTCTCTGCTCATGTACCCATCTAGGTGCCTCTTAAATGTCTTCAATGTGCCCACTTCCACCACCTCTTCTGGTAGTGCATTCCAGGCTGCTACCACTCTCTGCATGAAAAACTTCCCTCGCACATCTCCCTTAAACTTTCCCCCTCTGACCTTGAACTTGTGCTCCCTTGTAATTGAAACTTCAACCCTGGGAAAAAGCCTCTGACTATCCAGCCTATCTACGCCTCTCATAATTTTGTAGACCTCTATCAGGTCTCCTCTCAGCTGCTGTCTTTCCAATGAAAACAATCCTAGTCTTTTTAACCCTTCCTCATAGTCAATGCCCTGGAGACTAGGCAACATCCTAGTGAACCTTCTCTGTACTCTCTCCAAAGCTTCCACATTCTTCTGATAGTGTGGTGACCAAAACTGCACACAATACTCCAAATGCGGCCTAACAAGGGTTTTATATAGCAGCAACATGTTTTGCCAACTCTTGTACAACACGCCCTAGGCAATGAAGGCAAGCATGCCATATGCCTTCTTAATCACCTTGGCCACCTGTGTTGTCACTTTCAGGGAACTTTGGATCTGCACACTCAGATCTGTCTGAATGTTAGTGTTCCTAAGGGTTCTGCCATTTACAATATAATTCACACCTAAATTTGATCCTCCAAAATGCATCACCTCACATTTGTCTGGATTAAACTCCATCTGCCATTTCTGTGCCGAAGTTGCCAATCTATCTATATCCTGTTGTATCCTTTCACAATTGTTGGCACTATCAGGAACTCCACCAATCTTCGTGTCATCAGCAAGCTTACTTATCAGACCATTCACATTTTCCTCCAGATCATTTATATATACTACATACAACAAAGGACCTAAAACTGACCCCTGTGGAACACCACTAGTTACCGGTCTCCATTCTGAAAAATATCCTTCTATCACTACCCTATGATATTGATGAGTGATGAACCATCTAATAAAACCAAAAATGTACAACTTCCACATAGAATGGGAAAATGAACTTCTGTCACAATTGTAAAAGACAAGAGCATTTGCCTTGTCTGGCATCAAAGTATGTTGATAAATGAAAAGGGGAATTTGGTTCAACACCACACAATGATGCACAGTAAAGTCAAAGCTAATTTTCACTTGAACAGCATCTTTTGGGCAAAGAATGTTGATGAGCTGAAGGCCATTTTGAAGACTAAACAGTCATTTTTTCCTAAACCAGCAGCAAAAGGTAAAACCTGCACTGAAGCATCATTTCTTGTTTTCCATATTCTGGTAAAACACAAGAAATCATTCACAGATGGTGAAGTAATTCACGAAGCAGTGACTGTGCCCACTGGCTGTTTACTCAAAGACTTTAAGAATAAAGGTAAAGTAATGATGGCGATCACT